ACCAAATAAATGAACTTTGCATGGACTAAGGTAATAAATCTTACTTACTTGTTGATCTGAATGTGGCACATGAACATTCTGGGCTCAATCATAACTATAATGAGCAGTAGCATCAATACTGCAATATTGTGTTTTACCCTTGGAATAATGTTGATCAACTAGTTTTCTTTGTTCTTCTGCTAATTTGGTATTTTTATTATAATAATTTCTTTCTAATTTAGCCTTGGATAGATGTTCTTTAAATCTTTTGAGTAGATCTTTGGCTTCATCCTCTTGGCGAGCATTATAATGTAAACCATCTCTAAAATGCTGACAAGTATCACACAAGTCAGTCCTTGGACTCATAATTTGAATTTCTGGTGTTAATTGATGTCATAATTTTCTGAATGCATCATATTTTAAGGATTTCAATTTGTTATCTTCTTCTAGACCAGCTAGAAAATCTTTGTGGACTGATTTATAACTCATTTCAGCTGGTAAAAATATAACTGATTGGGTTATTCTATTGATACTTCTGCCTGGACTTGGTAATCCATGTAAATTTGAATATTGCAATAAAAAATTCTTAACTAATTGTGCCATTCCAAGATTAACAATTACACGTGATTTATTTTGAGGAATTTTATTAGTATTACCATGAATACAATCCATCAAACCATCTAACTTAAAATGATTTTGCAAAGCTAATAATTTGTCTTTACTAATACCACATAGTTTTAAAAAAACTGGTTGACAAATGGGTATTGATGAATTATACTGATAATTGTAATTATATTTATTTGTTTTGTCATTTTGATCCTGTAATTTAAAAACCATCAATTGTGTTTTAATACAAAGATCTAGTTCATGTTTTTCTAATCCTTTTAATTGAAATTGTCTTTCTAAAAAATTTTTAAATCCAATTTTTTTAAAACATATCCTATTTATTTGTTTACGACAGCTGCAGTTTGATTCTTCTTCAAAAAATAATTTCAAATTTTGGACTGCATTAAGTACCAATTCATTTGGCTCATATGTTTCTAATCCTAAATCACTTGGGAAAATTAAATTTTCTGATGATAATTCCATGTCATCTTCTAAATTTGTAATTTCTAAATTTAAATTAGATATGAGATCACCATAAATTAAAATTAAATCTTCAGATGATTCAAAATTTGAAGACATGTTGTAGTTAAACTGTCATCTTCTAAATTTGTAATTTCTAAATTTAAATTAGATATGAGATCACCATAAATTAAAATTAAATCTTCAGATGATTCAAAATTTGAAGACATGTTGTAGTTAAACAATTGTTTTTTGATAAATAAGGATTAAGTTTTTATTTCTGATGTTTTATGTTAGATGTTTTATTTTTTTAAAAAAATTATTTGTAAGAAATTTTCACACTATTTATAAAATAAATTAAAACAAATAATAATTTTTGCCTTAAAATTCGGCCATTTCACCAAATTTATTTTTAATAAATTTTGTCTTACCAAAATGAAAACTCGGCCATTTCACCAAAATTTATTTTTAATTTTTGTCGGCTATTTCGCCAAAATTTATTTTCAAATTTTGGGGTTCAAAACGATCAATTTCCGTGTAACAAATTTTCAGGAGTTATTTTCTCAAAAAAGCTCACTATACTTATACACGGTTTTTGCTAGAAAACCCCCCATATTTATATGGGTGGGTGTTTAGACATTAAATTCTGATTGGCTAATTTGAATTTCACATGTGATTGCAAATTCACAATCATTTTCACGCAAACATCACCCAATCTTGTTTCAAGAGAAAACTTACTTTAAGAGTTTTGAGTCACAGCATTGATCCATCTCAGTTACAGTACGTAACCAAAAAAAGACAATCCGTATAAAATGTATGAAAATTAGTTCGTTTGATATGTTGAAAGCAGAACTTTATTAAATGAGCTTAATATGAAAAACTTTCACCATTGCTTTTGATTACACGCTGACATTCCGACTTTGATCAAATTAAAATAAATCGAGAATTAGGCCCACTTTTCGATGACAAATTGTCCCAAGCATTTAACTTCCATTCCAATTATTTGATAAAAGAAAAACTGGTGATTGTGGAATATCACATGATTTCAATGTAATTTCATCATTGACTCGTTCACTCTATAAGCCATATCACCTGTTCCCTTCAACTTTATTGGTATTGAAATAGAATTTGAGATGAGAATACTTTATAATTTGGTGTGAATGAATATATGTTTCTAATAATGAATTACAAAAAAAAAAATACATTTTAAAAGCAAATTACTCAGAAACCAAATGTCGAATTTGATTGTAAAAGGCAAAGTTTTGTTTTTAAATTTATTTGTGACGATTCTAATAAGAAAATTTCTTAGCAAACACGTAGTGTATATACATGTGTCACGTGCATTACATAATAAAATTTGCATCAATAAAAAAAATTAACTTTTTTTTAGTGTTTTGCTTGAGGGTTTGGGACACCCTGAAACACATAACATTTCATTTTGCATCTTACATATGATTCGTATGTGCGTATATATAACACGAGACAAGGTTGATTTGTGAAAATGATGGGATGATCTGATATGATAAAATAAAGTGATGGTTAGAGATTGTGTGGTTGGCACTTGTTCAACTTCCCAAAAATGGGCCCGATGTTCTGTTCTTTCAATTATTCAGCTCATTTCTATGTGTTATAAAAGAAATTATTATTAAATATCATCTTGAATTATAAATTGTGTTAATTAATTACTTTTGTGCAAAGAGAAAGATTTTTGCCCACACATTGATCTGATTTGCCACCAATTTATTAATTCAAGTTGTCATACATATTATGTATTATTGTCATGATATGATGTTTCAATGTATGTAAGTAAACTAAAATATATTGGTAAGTCAGCCAACCTATATAAAGTCGCGATAAGTTGTAAGTGAGGTTACTTGCCAAAACCTCTTAGTGACTGTCAAAACTCTGTCGAAATTCTAATGAACAATTAATATATACCTTGTCAAAACTCTGACGATTTGACAAAACCTCCAAATGCGAAACTCTGCCGAAACTCTAATTAACAATTAATGTGTAACCTGTCGAAACTCTGCCAATTGATTTTTGGAGGAGTTTCACCCACGACCTTAGTTGTGAGTCAGCCAACCCTCTTTTTAGGATAAGTAAATTGTTCTCGATAAGTCAGCCTCGCGTGATACTTTCATTAAATAAAAGATCATCATTACTACTTTTAACGTATGTTTTTATAGAATTTTATATATATTAATATCATACATTATATCTGATGATTTAGAAATTCTTGTCACGATATTTTATTATCATCAAGTTATATCATTGATTGTATAATTTATTGTCTGATAATTTAGAAAGAATATTCTTGTTTGTATACAGTGAATCCCGATCTAGCGGACCTCAATTTAGCGGATACTGATTAAAAATCTCAGTTTTACTGATAAGGTTCAAAGAACGGTTCCATAATAAACCTTAATAAAAACCTTATCGATATAGCGGATATCTCAGTTTAACGGAATTTTCCCTGATTGCCCAAACTATCCGCTAAATCGAGATTCACTGTGTATTGTGAAAAATACATTTATTTATTTTTATGTTTTATTGTGTTCGGAAATTTTCAACTTTTGAAATTCTAATAAAAAGATTAATATAAATAATTAATTGTTTATTTATTTTTAATAAACTTTTAAACACAAAAAAATTTTATGTCACGTGCTCTCCGTAAGATGGTCACGACAAGTCGGTTCTCTCGACTTATCAAGTTTACCTATGTAACTCGAAATTGATAATCGATATCTCGCGTAATAAATTAATAAATTCATCGGTTTATAATCGGCAAAAATTTTGGGATAAGATAAATATAACATTTTCCTAAATTTAAGAACCAATATTAAATTCATTCCTAATGTCAAAAACTCGTTGTATTTCAGTTACTCTTTTAAATAAAGGTACTTTAGTAAGCGATTTACATTATGGACTATTTTTTCGTTATTGATGGCAGCCTTCTGGTAGTGGAAAAGTATTCTCTATTCATGGTTTTCTTTTTGGATCAGTAAGAAACAATCTTTAAAAAATAGGTAGGTGTCTTTGTAAATATACAATAGGTCAATGACATCTTGAAAACAATGGCTATTATTGCTCAAGCACTAGATTATTTTAAAGTCTTTGGACTATCATTATTATTGTTACTAACTTATATTTAAAAAATAGATTAATGGACGAACATAAGGATCTTTTGTTTATTCATTTTAAAAAGAATTATTAATACAGATTTCTAACATTGTATTAATGTTTGTTTTCTTCTATTGTTGAATGGTGGATAATTGTTACACGACCATCAAAAATATTCTAAGAGGTAATAATATGAGGGCTTTTCAATAGAAACGGATCATGTTGTGAATATGATGTTTTGAGAAGATGAAAAAAAGATCCGCATTTTAAAGGGTTTACTATTGTTTTGAAACATTTAAAAAAAATATCTCAATATTTTACTATGAAAAATGGGTATGGTTCTAATCCAAAAATGCTCTACATATAGCAATGGTATTAACCCAAAATTTCTTTTTTCACAACATGGAGCTTTTTTCTTTTTATTATTATTATTGTACATGCTGTGCTACGCAAGAACCAAAATCTATTAAAGTTAAGTTTGATTTGGATTGCACCTCTTTATCATAAAGAGTAAAAAAATCATACCACTTAGGTCAAAACAATAGTCAATTTCATTAAATTCGAAACTTATAAATGGGATGGCCGTCCTCATATTTTTTCGTAACACCAACATAGAATTTAACGTTTTTTTTTTTTTTTTTTAATAAAGTCAATATCCTCCTCATATAATTTTATTAGAATAAAGTAAATATAATAAAAATAATTCACAAAATAAATTCCAAATTAACTTTATATGA